TTTAAGGGTGTTGTAACTTGAAAACGGTCTTGAAACAAACCTTTTGGAAGGAGACTGTGTTTTGGGTTAGCAAACCTGCATTTTGGGGTTTTGATGTGGGTCTGTTGCAAGCATGCTCCTTTCCTGTTCAGTAGGAAGCATCCTGTCATTGTCCCTGCAGGCATGTCATGGTAGGGGCATGTTACATGTTCTCACTGGGAGTTATGAGGCTGGAAGGCCTCAGTTTCCTTTTAATTTTCAGGATATAAGATACTTGTGGAGAATCTTGCCTTGGGCACAGGGCTGCATGCTCTAAAATACTCTTTCCTGTGCTCACCATACCTATTTGAATCGACCTTCCTGGATACTTACTATCAATGCCAGGTTCTGTATTTTTTGTGCATTTTAAATACCATGGTGTTTCTCCTTCATTATTTATGAACTGGTTTTCAGGCTTCCTGTTTTGTTTGCTTATAAAAATAAAATATGCCTAAAAGGTTTAAATTCCACCCCTTCTCCTCTCCTGTAAACAAAAAGAAAAAAACTCACTCACAAAACAGCAATTTTATCTTGGTTAGCAGTTCCCCTTTGCACTCAGTTAGGTTACTTGGTTTTGTTTTTTGGGGACAGACTGATCTTAGCTATTGGGAAAACATAAACCTCACCCACAACATAATGGAGGCACTGGAAATATTTCTCATAGTCCTGTTGTGTTTTCCAGTGTTGGTTTGGTTGCATAAAAGCATGGTTTGTTCTCAATTTTCTTTTCTCTTTTGGGGAAAGTGAGAATGCTGAGGGGTTCATCCAAATATTCTGTCCATAGATCATGGCTAAAAACTTCTTTCAGTTCAAGCAATAGTACTGACTGTAGTAGCAATATATTATTTAGTGCTCTTCACTTGCCTCTTCAGTTTCAGCAAAAGCAAGTAGCTTTGATGAAATGCTTCTACTGCCTCTGCCGGTGCTGATGATCCCCAGCTGAATTCTTTCCTATACTTTGGGGCAATACAGTACAGCCTGAACGTCTGCTTGCTAGTTATATTTTGGTCATACTTTGACTGTCTGCATTTGTATTTGTGCTCCTTGTGGCTTGCTTATTCTTTGCATTTCTTTCTTTCTTCTCTTGCGAGTTGTGCAGGACTGACCTTCTGCAGTCCAACCAAAACAGGGGAAATGCAAGCCAGTATCTCACATGGAAACAAATTTTGCCTCTAATGCAATTCCAGTGTGTTTTTCTAGGGAAATTTAAATGAGATGTTTTATTCATACGAAGTCAGTATTTCTCTGTTCTCTTCCAATTCTAATAGTCCTGGATGAATGCAGGAGAACATCTGCAGATTTAGAGTCATCGCAAGAGCAGTAAGTTTATATGTAAGTTTAATATCTCACTGTACTACAGTACCAAACATTAGAAACTTTTGCAGATGTAAGGTGGTTTATATTGAGTTGCCAGCAGACAAATGACTTTGAAATTCCTGTGGAGGATGTATGATGTTAGAGTCAAAAGCATGGAAACCAAGTAAAGATGCTTTACAAAAGGGGCACACAGGAAGTGGGACAGACAGAAACTTTTTTTTTGTGTGTCATTCCCAACAGAGAACCAGAGCAGGAGCATATTCTACTTTAGCACCTGCTTTGACTTCCTCCTTCAGTAACAGGCCTCGTTATTTTTGTAACCCGTTGTGGTTGTTTTTTTTTTTTTCTTTCTTCTCTGGATTTGCAGAATTAATGGATTCACTGGTGCCATCTTGAAACAGCTTTCTTTACTGAGTGAATGTTACGGTGTACTCTCTAACATCCCAGGAACAGATTTACACATTTTTTTAATTTTTTTTTTTTTAATTGCAATAGTAGGTTATCATTTGTCACTTGAGTAACCACAGCACTTTGCATGCAAACAGCTCACTTTAGGAGTGTTGAGGATAGCTTATAGAGATTTTATCTTCCTCTGAGGAGTTACAATGTTTACTAAATAGCTTGTAGAGAAGTAGACTTAGAGGCAAAGATGGTAAATGAATAATGCAAGATCAAACAAATATGAGTGACAGATGGGAACAGAATTTAGCAGTGCTCTCACCTCCTATCTCGTAAATGGGAGCTCACTCTTGCTGCCTTGTTCTGAGCTTCCTGCCCCTTCCCTTGTAGCAGTGCAAAAGTGTGTCTGTCTGCCTGCAAGGCATCAAAACTGTGAAAGGGATCTAGACTTAAACTTGCTGCATTCACCCTGCCTCCGAAGTTAAAATTAACCATGAACGACTTTCTAATCCATGTCACTGTGTAGCTGCCCAAGGGCTTGTGCAGGCACTGGGCATGGGGCAGCCCAGGCTGGCAGGAGAGAGAAGCTAAAATTGATTCCTTTGACGTGAGCTTAAAATGTTTGTGATTAGTTTGGTGGAAACTCTTCCTTACAGAGAAGCCTAAGGGCATCATTATTACAGTGTAATTAAATCCTGTTAGTTTAATTATATAGTAAACTTTAAAGCCTTAAGAAATACTTGCATAGTATTTTAGAATGAAGCAAAGTTATAATATATTTAACAGTGAATGCAATTAAATCAAGATTTAATATAGTGTTTACGAAAAAAACTGCAAACACGTTTTTTAAAAATAACTTGTGATGTAACTTTGCAGAGGTTTGTTTTTATTATATGTAAGACAGTAATATACAGAGGATATGATTTGTTTGTCTTAAGGTTGCAATTTTTAACTCTTCTGTTATCTGCTGTGGTTTGGTATTGATGATGGATTCCCTTACTGCCATGCTGATTTCATACAGTGTATGTGACATAAGACCTTTCCATTCCATTTCTTGTTTCCCAGCTGTGTGGGCACTTTTTATTTTTCTCATTTGCTCCCCCTTCCTCCTCGGTCTGTTTGAGGATAGCTCTTTTTTCTCCCCAAACTGTTGCATCTAGCATGGGAAGTAATTCTCTCGGTGTGATTTATTTTCTTTCACCTGGGCTTTCTTGTTATAAAGTCCTTGTTTGTGGGGTTTTGTTGTTTGTTTGTTCATTTGTCTTTTGAGAAAGGACTAGAAATAAGCACCTCAACACTCCTGTTGTGTTCTTCTCAGTTATCCTCTTTATTCTTATTTAACTTTTGTTGTTACAATGATTAAGGGATTTGTTACAGCCTCATTACGCAACTCTTTCTTAGAACTACCCTTTTGCCATCCCAGGGTCCTGAGACAAATCCTAACTATTCCAGCCACCACACTTCTGTGGACACATTATTTAACTGAACTCTGACTTGGGCCAGCTAGGAATTCCGATCCCCCCCCCCCCCAACCCCACCCGCTTTCCCCACAAACTGTATTTTATGACTTGCAGAAGCAAACACATGCAAAAACTGTCAATCCCAGAGAAGTTCTTGGCAAGAAGACCTGGTTAAAGCATAAGTAACCAGTGCTATTTACTATGTGCTGGTGATAATGGGGAAACAAAGAGAAATAAGAAGGGATTGTCAGAAAAATGGATATTCACAAGATGACTTCATATGCCTTTTTTCCTAGGACAAAATCGCTAATAGACTATACAAAATGTAAACAATTTATTGTGGTATATATTTATAGAGTTCTTTGAGTTTCTTTTTGATAGTAATCCACTTTATTTGCTTGCATGTAGAGTCTGGATTTAAACAGAACATTTCAGTCTCCTGTCTAATTTCATATGGTTTTTTGTCTGTGTAGGAGAGAGTTTAAGCTGGTTGTAAATTATGTGGGCAGATAATTTATGTTAAAAAGGGGGGGAAATGATGTATTTTAGAGGTAACCTACCAGAGACTGTGTCTATTCTTACTATTTATGATAGCTAAAGTAGGCGAAAAGTTCAGAGATTTTGATGTTTATAATCTTTGCCCTGAAAATGTTAGGATTCTCAGATTTGGTGATTCTCTGCTCATGCCAGGAAGTGTCTAGCATCTTCTGCAGGGTCATGTATTACCTTTCTGTTGTTGTTTAGATAGTTAACACAAAATTCTTCATGAAACAATTGCACTTTTGTGATGTTCCTATGCCAATTCACTGGCATCTGCTTTTTCTTGTATCTTGTATCTTAGATACAGTGTCATCCAGGATTTAGATCCAGTAGTTAACCCAATAACTTGAGTAAAAGCACTTCTTTTCCAGAAGAAGTTTGATTTTGTTTTTACATTTCTTTTAATTTAGCTGTGGCAAACTGTTTGACAGCTTTAGTGGGGAAAAAAACACCACTCATTTTCTTTAAAAAAATAAACTCAGTTAATGGTAGGGTACTAGTGGAAGCTGCATACTAAAATATTGCATTGTGTTGTCTCTGTTGCTTAAATTTACTGGATATTAAGATTATTTGTTCAGTGGTACCATTATGTCATTTTTTTTTAATATGTAGATTGAGTAAAGTTTGCTGATACCAGTGATGAATTTAGCATAATAAAGTTAAGCTAATTACAATTTCAGGTACTGGGAGGCATATATTTTGTGTTACAAAATACACCTATTTGTAAATGGCAGTAAGAGTGACCTCACTATACTATACTGACACAGCTATATTTATAAAATAGCTTGAATAAAAGAAATCTAAACTACTTAGTTGTTTTTTGGGCATTGACTTGATATCTAGCTGGTCATTGCTGGATGGTGTTTTTATTAGATTTCAGTTGTTAGCAAACGATATTTGTGGAAGCTTGTGGGAGGAAGCATGGTGTAAGAATTTGGATTCTCGCTGGTGGAGTTACTGGGATTCTTTACAAATCTGTAATCTGCATTAATTGATACAGTTTGGTACTTTCTCCAGCTCTGGGTTTTATAATACAGAACAGAAAACTAGCTTAGCCTGGGAATAGCCAGTGAACATTGATTGTACTGGTTTGGGCAAGTTCTGTAGTTACAGAAATAAGCTGATGTGAAACTGGATGGGTATAATCAGATATCTTCTGAAAGCAACTGGGATGCTTGCAACATGAGGCAGAGCAGCTGTCAAAAATGTTCTTGTGCAAATGTGGTTATCTTTATTTTTGGACTAACCAGCATTTTGTCTTCACAGCAGCTATACTTCTGAATGGAAGTGGCTGGCAGACAGAGCTAGAATTGGCAGCCGTTGGACATGGCTTCAAGCCCAGATTTCAGAACTAGAATACAAAATCCAACAACTAACTGACCTTCACAGGCAGATACGTGCCACCAAGGTATTGTCTGTAAGCTTATAAATGGGCTTTTCAATCTTCTGACAGTATTTCTTGTAATATTTATTTATTTGGTTCCTTGTTGTCATTGTCCTTGTTTGTTTTGCCCTAGAGTTTTTGTATCTGTGCAGGCTATCACATGTGGAGGTTAATGAGAAAGACATCAGGAGATAAAATGTATTGTGCCCTAGAGGCACCAATACAGGACAGGGAGTTGGGAACTCTTACTTTCCTATCTGTGGTAGTAGGGACTTTGTTAGTGGGGCACAGCACAAGGTACTGCATTTATCACACTGTTTTTTTCCCTCTGCAGAAGAGGCAAGATTTGGTTTTCAGGTGGGGTGGTTGGTTATTCATTTTTGTGTTGTGGGGTTTCAGGGTGGGTTTTTTTTTATTTGCATGTTTATTCTGAGGATTAGCTATTTAATGTTTGTACAGTGCTTTGAACAGGTCAAAGATTAATTATTACTAAAATTCCAACGTGTGTAACTCATGTAGTAGTTTTTGTAAATCGAACTGGCTAGACAGTGGGAAAGTCACATTCCTAAAACATTGATAATCTATCTATCAATTTAATGGGTTCCCTAGGTCATTCTCATGTGCAAGAAGCCAAAACCTGTGATAATTCTGGTGGTGTGATAGTGAGGGGTTTTAGAAGAAGGCTCTTTGACTCTCCATTGTAGGTTGTTTGATCTCTGCTGGGGTCAGATAAGCACGGATGGAGAGGAGCCAGAAGATGCTTTAGACTTTACGTGGCTGAATGTGAGACTTAGAGGGAGTTTAAAAGGAGAGGGAAATCACCCCAGAGAGAATTTCCCTCTGATCACAAAAAGAAAAATTATTCCCTCTTCTTTCACCCTCAGAGCCTTTCTTTTCCTATCCAACTTTGTCTCTCCTGCTCACAACTTTTTCCCAGTCAGGTTTTTCTTTAAAAAATAATTGAAGAGCCTTTGTTTGAGGGTCTGTCCTGCCTCTCTGCCCGCAGAAGTGAAAGGAGATTTTGTATTTTGGTGAAGGGTGAGAATGCCTGTATTTTAGTGTTGTCCTAAATACCAGGTACATGCACACTGTTACAACCAAGAGCTGTCAGCCTTTAAGTTGGCATAGGTCTCATGAGCTGCAGAAGACAGAGAAATAAATAACAGAAACGAGAGGAAAAACATTCCTTTAGTCATGCATTTTCTTCGGATTAGGTGGTATGTTGGCTTGGATCCTAGTCATCCTCCTGGTGGAGATCTTTAGTGACATTCCTTTTTGCAAACTTCATGCCCCTTTTACCAGCTGTGGTATTCAGTATTTGGCATTGAGTCCCATAGTGAAGGTAGACACATTTCCTTCAGCTGTGATTTTTTTTTTTTTTTTTTGTATACACGTTTGTAGTACCCCAGTGCAGCAGCTACAGAAGGACACATGGGCTGATAGAAGAGCTCTTTGTTTTCATTTAGTGGCTGCAAAGTAGTTACACAATATCATTAGAATTTGTATGCTGTTTTTATTAGTTTCAGAGTGTTTTTCCTGTGTTTTGAATGGAAAAAAATGTGATTCATAGCCAGTGAACAATGATTTCAAGCAAAATGCCACTCCTCTTAATACCATAATGCAATAGGAAGGGAGATGGTTAACCTGTGGGCAGTTTCCTGGCCTACTACATTGTGTCTTCTCCATCTCTATGCACACAGAAGTAGCAGCTCTGGATCTTTGAGAATCCTTCCATTTAAAAAAAATGTGTATCTGCAAGACAAAACAATTCCATTTGGGGGTGGGGGAGAGGAGGGAGTTCATTGCCAAAACCTGCTGGTTGTACAAGTACCTTTCCTGCTTTCCTTTTTCAGTGCTTCGTCAACAGGATTCTGCAGTTTAAAAAAATAAAATTCCAGTGGAAGCAGGGTGGGGGATGGAGTGTTCCCCTCTTTTCACCACTCTTCCCGTGTGTCTTCCTATTCCTCTCACTTCAGAATTTTGCTTTAGGCTTTTGTGAGGGGTTTTTTTCCGCTCTCTCTGGTCATGACCTATGATTCTTTTACTAAAAAGATCTAAAGATTCTAAATTCTAAAAGAGTCTAAAGCTGTTGAGCTAGCTTGTCCTCCTGTTGTGGCACACAAAAATTAGATCTATACTTGAATTCCCTTACACATACTGCCTACTTTGTAACTGCTCTTGGTCTACAGATTATAGTATGATACTGTCTGGAGTCGTTTCCATCTGCTGTAAATGGAAAAGCACAGATGATGGGCTACTACCTGATAAGGAATGTGGAAAATCTAGCATTGACTTGATGGAAATTCAGAATCTCTGCGCCCCTTTTGGGCACTAAAGCGAGTTTTCAAGCACCAACATTTGTTTTTAGAGAATATCTTTGTTCTCAGCTTTGAATTTATAACTCAAACAGGGGAATAAGTTAGAGACACAATGAGAACAGGACAATTTCACGTCTTCTCCTAGTCTCCCCTTTGAAGTCTCTTTGAGACTTGCTTTCATGTTTTAGGGCAAGTTCCTGCAGAGGCAGGAGTCAAGGTGTGAATAAAACTACAGGATCCTTAATTTTCCACAGCCACAACCTAGGTGAAGTCTATCTTGCTTAAAGAAATAATATAGGGGTTCCTTGTGTTCACGTGATGATAATCTCCCTTGGCTTTAGTGGAATATTCTCACTAGAAAGAAAAATTTGAGGCAGTGTAATTGAATGGTCCCATTCTTTCAATATCTGCTTGATAATTGAGTAACAGTTAGTACTTGAAAGCAAGTAAGTTCTTTGCCTTTCTCTTTGGAAAAAGCCTCCAAGGGTTTGATAGCCTTTTCTGAGTATGAAATTTATTTACTCAAGATAATGACAAATTAAGGGACTATTTGACAAACTGGTTTTGACTGTTACAAAGTTATTTTTGCTTATTATTTTGTTTAACATTGTAAGTTGTTAAAACAAACCAACTGAGATGTTACCTAGGATTGTATTTGACACTCATTTTCTAATCCGTCATGTGGAAAACACAAAGGGGATATTCTTTTACTAGTTCTATTTAAGAAACTGTTATTTCCCTACCATATAAAGTTACATTTATCATATTAGGTGGCATTCGAGACAATAGACCACGTCTGATACCACATTTGTGCAGATTGTCTTGAAAAGCAATAAGATTGCTAGAATATTTACGACAGTTACCTCTGTAATGACAAAACTCTAAAAATGCTCACCTTAAAAAAATCAATTATTAAATCGTAAAAGGCTTTTGTTTTGAATTGTATACACCTCTGCTACATAATAAACCTTGATGTTTTGCTTAGAATATGGATAGGAATAAAAAAAAAATAGAGCACTTTAAAATGCCTCTGCAAAATTTATTGGATGCAAAGACTATAACCAGCTTCAAATCAAAGGGTGTTTTTTTCTTACAGAAAAACCTCTTCTTAAATGAGTGGGCAAATGATCATATAGTTATGCTAAGTAGTATGAATTTCTGATTTGAATTTTGGCACAGATGTTTAAGCAGTGGTATAAGACTAGAATGATTGCTGTTATAAGGACTAGCATAAATGGTGCAGCTTTTCATTAATGAAAATACCTACTACTTCTATATTTTAGCTGTTAAGTGTATTTAAAACCTAGTTTTAAGTGCTCCAGAGAGTTTCTGGGAGGATTTAAGGGGGATGTGCCAGGTTGTACTGCCCCTTAAAAATTATTTAGGAGGGTTAATCTGTTGTCAACCAACTGTGTTCAATTGCTGTTGTCTAGGGGATGGTGATCTTAGAAGAATTCCCATTTCCAAAAGACATTTTGAAGAAGCAAATACAATTGACAGACCAAGAAGCTTTATTAAACGCCACAGGGAATTCGCAAGCTGCCATTGAGAGACAGGATTCTTTGCCGGAGCATGACTTTGAAATGTCACCCAGCAGTCCTACCCTGCTTTTACGAAACATAGAAAAACAGGTAAAGTAAAATAAGAACTGAATGGTCAATGGAGCCAAATGATTTACTTCAGAAATAGGGCAGGTTCCATGGTGCCGACTTCCAAAAAGGAAGATATTTTGCAGTCCTCAGAGTGAGTGCTGATGAATTGAAGGGCTTAAATAACTACATTGTACGCCAGGTTTACAAATTAACCTTTTATTTCTGATGTGTCTGTGTTACTGCTTTGTTTCCATCAAAGCGGCCACATAACTTCTAACAGCTATCCACAAACGTGCCTCTCTTTTATAGTTAAGTTCAATGTAGAGTTGCCACAGATTGTTTCAGGAAATACTTACGTGAGATGAAAGAGTACAGCTGAAGATGGAGGTATGTTGCACTTGAAACAAAATAAAAGTGCCAACAGAATGTAATTGTTGGTCTGCCTTTTCAAGCATCACGGGGCCTCCAGTTCTGAGCTGAGGAATTCCAGGTACTTAACAGGCATAGCACAGGCATAGCTGTGAGCGGAGTTTCGGTTCATGGTGTTCAAAACAGTCATTTCCAAGGTTAATTCCAGGAAATACAATATAGACTCCAACAGGGTTTTCTTTTGCTAGAAAGTACATAAAGAATGTGGTAGGATCACATTGCTGAAGGAGATACAGGAAATTTGTTTTCAGAATGAATTTATACAGTTCGCATAAAGCAAACCTGACAAAGCCAGTATGGTGCATTAATATGTTGCTCTGCTGCTCTACCTAAATTCTTGGTTATATACATGTTTTTTAAATGGGGTAAAAGTAGCTTTAGGTACTAATGCCTGTTCCTGAATCTCTGTGCCATTTTTTCTTATTTGATAGTCATACTTTCCTGTTCTTAAAATGCTTCCCCTGTTTGATAGATCTTATCCACAACAGACAGGAGTGAGGAAGCAATGAAACAGGAAATTTATATGCGCAGTGCTGGCAATTGCACAAGGTAATCCCAAGAGCATTTTTAGAATGTGGTGAATGTCCCCTCTTTAAGTGTTTACTTGGAGAATTAAATGCACTTTTCAGTAAGATATTGGACAATTAAAGTAATAGTAGTGTGTTTCCTGGTCCCTAAGTAGCTACAAACAGAGGTCCAAGAACATTGATGATCTAAAGATTACTTGGAAGTAAAGGTGTTCTTCATTTAACTCATCTCACAGACTACATCAGATTTCTTCCCTTTACCCACAAAAAGCTTTGGGGTTTGATTTGCTTTTCGACTATCAGTTCTATAAATTAACCTTAACTCTGAATGTCTGAGATACTTCTCATTCAGTGTCAGGAGTAGCAATGTTGTAGGCTGAAGTAAATCCGCAGGTAGTCCCACAGAATTCTTCAGTCCTTTGTTAAAGTATTTCTTTATTAAAAATAAGTAATTTTACTTGTGAACAAAAAAAATTCATAAAGAATACAAAGTGACTGAGCCTGGCAATTTTTATTAATACTGTTTTCAAGTCCTTTTCATAGCTATGCGATGTTTTAAAAACATACATGTTTTTCCTTGTGTTTTGGAAGTCTGCCATTGTTTCAGTGCTTTTATATTCAGTAGAGACTTTGCTCCTTACAGATTGAATTCTGTTGAGATTTTTACATCAATCTGCTAAATATTTTACTGGCATCTTGTTTGCTCTGTCCAAGCCTTTTGTAATTGACTTGCTATTTCTGTGCTTTAATATCCATTCCTGAATATTTCATTCTGACATGAAATTTTTACCCGACTGCATCACTTAAACATGAACAGAAAAGACATGAGTTGTAATAACATGGAAAATAATTTTTTCTGCCTCTTTTTGCGTAAATGGTGGTGCCTCAAAACATACAGAAAACTTAACTGGGTAACCTTTAGCAATTCTTGTTTTAAATAATCTTAGTTCTGAATGAAAGGCCTACAAAATAGTATAAAAGTTAAAAAAAAAAAAAGTATGGCATTTCAGATACATTTTATTTCTATTTAGTGTGCAGCACACAGTTTCTTCTAAGAAAGCTACATTTTATTGTCAGAATAGCCTTTAAGGTTTGACATTTAAAACAAAAAAAATCATTATGAAATGTTATCTGGAGTCAGTCCACAATTCATTGCTTAATAAGGAGTAATTCTTAGTCTTAACAAATTAGCTGCATTTATTTTGGGGCAGTTCTGAAAGTCCACGTTTTGGTGGGGTGGGGGCTTCTTGTTGCTATTTTTAAGGATACCAGAAGATTTAGCCATTCTGTCTGTAGTTACAGTAGTCCTCCTGTAGTTACACTTCCCTTTATAAAAACACCTTTGTCAAACTACAGTGAGCAATGAAGAGGATTCTTTTAACAAGAAAAATACTTCGAGTGAACAAAATGTACAATGAGTAGACAGCAGACCTTGGGTTTTTTTCCCTGTTGAAATGCTTGTTGAATGGCCAGTTAGCAGCTCTGGGCTGCAGCTGTTGTAACATCAGCTGTAAAGCATTCTGGTTTCTTTTGCCTTTTTAAAAACCTTTGGTTAAAATACTAAGATCACTAATGTGTTTTGTGTACTACTAATCCAAGTGTATAAACAATGTGCTTGGCTGGTTGTTCAGGGTTGTGTTGGTTTTTTGTTGTGTTTTGAGGTGGGTTTTTTTGGTATAGTTGAACATAATAATTGTGAAAGAAAAAACATGCCATACTTCATTATTCACATGAAGAAACTAAATGTGATTATTCCATGATGTATGTGACTGGAATCGTAAGTAGAAAAACAACAAAAACCCAGAACCTTTGAGGTGTTGAGTCTCCATAAAAGTCTGACTACCTTTTATTTTTTTTTGTTTTTTTCCAGAGCGCACAACTGAGTGAAATCATCAGCAGCCTAATTGCTCCACTCAATCTGTCTCCAGCTTCTTCATCTCTTTCATCCAAGACCTGTAGGCACAGACAACTGGTCAATGGCATCTCCTTCAGGTAGGTGACAGTATGGTAGCATCTTTTTGAGAATAACTTTTGGTAAAGTTATGTAGATGGAACTGATAATCATTACAGCAGTAAATCAGGAAGAGAGAGCTGCTTTCTGCAAGCTTCAAGAGAAGTCAAGTCTTGCTTGTAAGGTTGAACATAGTAGGGTTTTGTTTTGTTCTTAAAGACATAAAAGTATGCAGTCACTGTAAGTACGTTTAAGTACTGGGAAGATGAATATATCTGTGAAGTAGTGAAAGGATACAGTAAGTAACACACTACTTCTCATTATTTCAGACTTAATGCATTCTGGCATCAGGAGTACAACTTAATTTCTGGAAAAGTGATGAACTAGACTTCACTAGATCAGTAGAATACATAAGCAACGTCACCGGTGCCTCAGCATGGTGGTTTTTGTGGCAGCTTCATTATTTCTAAGCATATCAGTCTTCAATACAAGGACAAATTTATCTTTGCCATCTACTTTTTCAGGAATTTGGAGATAATATTTTTCTATTTGTGGTCTTTTGTTCTGGATGGATATACCTTCCAGGATGACTGTAGCAGCTCGAAATTAATGTAGAAAAATGTTTCTCAGTACTACTCCATACATCTTAGTAATTCCATCTTTTATTCAAAGATTTTAAAATACAACACAGGCTGTAATCAGTTTTAGTCTCAAAACAGCATTAAAGTAATTGACTACAGTGCTGTCTTAGAAAAGACCTAGGTATGTAGGGTATTTATCCTGAGATACTGGTAATATGATTTTTGAGGATGGAGGGGTTGCTGTTATTCGTAGGTCTTAATTAAGATTGGGTGGATGAAGAAAGTGTTCCCTACTAGAGCTGGGGAGTTTATGGCAGTGTCTGCAGCAGAATGTAATTCCCTGGCTTCTGGCTCCAAGAAGAGCTGGCCACGCCGTCTGTTTCAGCAGCTTTGCCACAGAGGCTGTAGCTCCCACAAAGAGATTATAATGAGCAGCTTGGTTGGGCAGCTTCTTTAACTGCCGTCTGTTCCAAAGAGATTGTGTGACTGTGCCCTAAATTTAAGGATGAGGGGTCCTGTCACATAGCATCCATGCTCCTGATGTATCGGTAATTTAAAGACAATGTACGGGAAAATCAGAAGATTCCTCTGAGTTTTGGAATAAAATAGCCCTGAAATAGGAGTTGCTAGTAGAGATGGGTATGTGGAAGAAGAGAGTAAATTTGGCTGTTAGAAGGCTGTGTCCTGAATCTGTAACTTTTTCACAAAACAGATGAGGAAGGGTTCCTGCTTTTAAAAATATTTTTAGGAGTGTATGGAGTTGACTTCATGATGTGGGACTCAAGACTCAGTGATGTAACTTCAAGATGCTTGTCTTCTGATTTACCAGGCACCATCCCAAATCAGTTTTCTTTCCATTTTATGAGCAACACAGTTGTTTGCTCGTGGACCACTCTCTCTAAGGCAGGTTGTTTTCTGCTCATGACATATAAAAGCCCAAAGAAGAATGAGAAGAGTTGTAAGATTTTCTCAGTGCTGTAGCTCTGAACTGGAGTTGTTGCGTTAGGTGTTGGAAGGGAATCTGAGAGATGTGAGAGCTTTCTAGATGTCATCTTAAAAATCAGTTAAATAGTTAATTTTAATTATTCACTTCTTGTGAAGTGTTTTGAAATCTGCAAATAAATACTGTTCATTAAAGGTGGCAATTAAGCACAATATAGAGTGGTTATCATGAGAATCCTGTAGGGAAGTTTACTGCCTCCTACTTCTTGTTGAGTGTGTTTTCATTTTTTTGTGGTATTTTGTTGTTGAAGTAGTTTTGCGTGCAATTAATCGAGACAGTTACATACTACAGTTAAATTCATTTCTTGGCTGCTTCTCCCCTCACTCTTTCTAGAGCTCACTCCGACTGTATTAAGTACTTGAGAAAGTAGAAATCAAAATCAAATGGAAAGTAAGGTGATTTCTTGTTTTTGAAGAGGAAAAAAAAAAGGATGATAGTGATTTTTTTACTTAAGTAAATTCTTGAAATTAGTTGTAGGCTCTTGATGTGAAAGATATAATAGTCCATGTTTAAAGTAGGTCTAGGTGTGAGATGCTTTGAGGTTGGTAATCATGGGGTTGCAGTACAGTTGGTTACTTGGGCTATTCCCAGAGGAAGTGGTGGTGCATGTACAGTTCCTGGTTGATTAAATGTGGGAACCTTGAATTGCCATTTGTCAAGGTCTAATTTCATTAGTGGCTTCCTTTTTCTATGTAGCTTTTCTTTGCTCAATTGAATCTAGATGCCAAGATTAGCCAGGTGCTTTGTATGAAGGTAAATGTTCATGGAAGCAGTTCCCTAAACTAGTGATAACCACTTTCTTATGAGGGGAGAGGAATGAAAAAGTTCATTACTTCAGTACAAATAGTGCCTGTCTGATGGCTTGCTGTGCATGTGTGTATCCGTGAGTAAGGTCTCTGCTCTTTACCTAGGCTACGGAGCAAGAAAGTCCAGCCTATGAGCTTTGAAAGGACTGTTTAGTAAATCCATGAATTTTACATCTGGCAGTGGTTCATTTCGCTCTTCTGTAGAATCACATTTTGAAAACCACCCAAACTATGATCAAAATAAATGAATAACCCAAACCTTGACTGGGAAGCCTATTTACACAAGTGGCAGGAAAATCGTACTGCTGTGTAGTGGAGCTCTAAGCCACAGAGCTGAGATCTCTGCTTTATCTGAAAACGGAGCTGAGCATTACTGCAAGGCACAGGAGGGTAGATAGAGCAGCTGGCAGAGACTGAAGAGAGATTATCAAAGACCTGGGCAGACCACCAGAACAAAGGCAGGAATCACAGAAGTTGAGGAGCCAGACTGAGCTTTTTGTTCTTATATACCAACTCCAAGTTGTCTTTCATGTAAGAGGGAGGTATGTGGAAGTCTAGAAGTTGGGCTTGGCACCATCTGACTTCGAGGCAGATAATTACAGAGAAAATGTTCTTGAGAATTCAGAGAAAGTATTTTAATAAGTCTTTTGCATGGACTTTAAACATTGTATTTCTTTCTCAAGCCTTAAAAAATGCAGCGTTAGCATTAAGAATGTCATGCTTCAGGATTTGGGGCTTTTTCTTGGCACTTACTAATATGTTCCTTTAAATACTTTGTACCATCCCTCTTTTAATTAGCACATTTTTTTCATCGAGTCTGTGTTGCTTATTGGGATTGTTCTGATGTGTCAGAAGGAGAGCTCAAATTCAAGCCCGTAAAGCTTTGTTACCACACCAGCACAGCATGGGATGGTGTTTAATCCCACTTTCATAACAAGCGCTTCTATTTAATAAAAATAGACTGTTAGAAGAATACTGCTTGTCAAAAAAGATTGATAAATGGCCTTGTAATAAATTCATTTTCATGTTTTATTGTGTGTTACAACTTTACTAATAAGACTGACTTGCCAGATAAAGTTCATAAGAGAAAATATTCATTTGTGCAGATAGATGACCTGCTACAAAACAAGGCCAAGATATCTTGTATACTTGCGCTTCTCAGGCAGTTTAGAGTTGCAGTCAAGGTCTTCAGTATTGTAAAAATAAATGCACACTTGGGTGCTTTTTGCAGCAAGCCTTCAGCTTTGCAGGCAGATGTTGCTACAGCAACAAAATAAAATCAGGTTACCTATAAAAGTGAAGTGCATTCTTCCTGTTGAGTCATTCCCACCCAAATGGGAGGGTGTTTTGAATTCTTACCTTGTAGTGTTCCCTGTTCTGATGAGCAGGCTGTAGATTGGTGAGAATGATCCAAGGTTGTTATACGTATAGGGTTTTCTACTGCTCTTGGCCCTGTGTTGACACATAACTTTTATGATTGCATACTGTATTACTAAGGGTGCAAGTGTGCATGTAGGTAAGGTTGTGGAGGAATGCTGCTGTAACACTGAGGGGGATTTGAAAGGGATAGACTTGGGGAAATGCAGGTAATGTTAAAACGAAGCTTTCCACGTGTTCATGTAGACCCTGTCACATTGTGACTGGAGCTGAGCTTGCATTCTTCCAAATCATCTGGGTCCGACCAGCTTCTAGGTCTCAAAGACAGAAAAACAGGCTAGGTTTTCCCTCCTCCTCGACAGTTTCCCCCAGGCTGGGCTTGGGCTCTATTGGAGAGCTCTATTGGCACATCCATGGAAGTGAAGTTTAATGGCCTTGTGTTGGTTAAACTTAAGTGTGCGGAGTTCCTAATTTTGATAGAAATGCTTCACAGTGAGTTGCAACCCCTACGCTGAATGGACACTGGTTTGTAAAGCTTTACTTAAGTTTCAGTTCTTGAGCAAACCTAGAAAATCTCAAAAGTATTAGGGCAGGACTCCAGGTCTCCTTTATGTTAGCATGACTGCTATCTTGAATGGAATATAAGTTTGTAGGGAAATGTTAATTCTAACTTAAAACTCATAGGTATTAGAAGTGTTAGAGTTCTTGACTTTGGAAAAATGAAAAACCATTATATGCTTGAGGGCTTAACTTCATTTTGACATTTGTTTCCATGAGCAAGAAAGGTGAACAAGAACAATAAACTTCCTTTCATGACCTAACATGGAATTAATCAACAGGCAAACAAAGCACCTACATGGTTTCTGGAAACAGTGTGCTAAAACATTTTAGCGTTTATAAAACTCTCTTAGAATTAGATAGCTAATGCTAATCAGTGTATGAAATGTTGGCCTGTGCATGTGGAGCTTATTTAACTTTTCGTATTTCCTCCCCTGATAAATCATGAAATTGCAGAGCTTCAGACAACAGAGAAGTATCCTCTTCGAGCAGCTGGTTGCTTGATCATCAGCACATCAAGAAAAGAAGAAGAGACAGGACAAGACTAAGATCTCTCTCTGTGGCTAATGTGAGCACATCTGCCCGAACAAGGCCACTTCATAGTTTCCAGAAGAGGAAACTCTACAGAATGCACAGGGCCTGTTACTGGAATCAGCAGGTAGGCCTTGCCTCTCTCTTCAGGAGACAAAACCAAAGAGTCCAGCTGCTAGAGGCTGCATGTGTCTTCTCTGGTATGTTGGAAGAGAAGTGCATGCTGTGCTGCTTATTTGTTACATTCAGGGAGCATATAGTGTATGTGGTGGGAGTACTAGATGTCTCAGCAGGAGCTCAGAGTTAATGAGTTGAAGATAAAAAATAAAGAGCGCTCAGAATCCTGCTTATCAAATCACTTTGTTGTATGGCTATCTTTAAAGCACTTGTACAGTCTAAGAGACAACTTGAGACCTTCCTTGGGATGCTTGACTGCTGAGGAAACAGGCTACAGTGTAAATCAGCTGCCTGCTTGTTTTCAGAATATTTGTTTTAGCTACAAGAAAGTTTATACAGGTGGCTCATATCATTTTCTAGGAAATTAAATTGCAGTATCTTAATGTTTTTTCTGTTTTTGCTGTTCCTGATTAGTTATATTGCCTTTTTCATGACACTTTATGAATCCTTTAAAACTCTTAAAATTTTCCACATTACAAAGGAATTAATATTTTAAAATGGGAAAAAAACCCCATTGTCTCTTGTGCAGGGCAAGGCATATCTGTTCACATCTGATATTAATAGCATATTGCTGGTAAGAATATACAATGAGTTTAGCTGTGGTGCATAAAGCAACAGTCTAATTTGGGAGCAGAGGTGGTATGAACTCATTCTGTAGAGCAGTTTTAATCCCAAGTGGTTTTAATGACTTGATTTTACTTTGCCTTTTAAAAGTGTGTTATATTGAGAGAAATCTCCATGTCTCCTTGGCTAACTGTCTGGGATTTACTAAGTCTACCGGTGGTCTGGGGAGAAATTTCCCCTGCAAGGATGTTCTGTGTGAGTGTGCTGATTCAGCATCCTCTGCAAAATTGCAGAAGTGTCCTAGTTTTAGCAAGATATTTTATTGAAAACTGTGCAGTTTCTTATTAGCTTGACTTCCCAGCTTCCTGGCAGTGGGGCTTAAAGACTTGGCAGCCTTCCTGGAGGGTTTGATGGTGGGGGATGGGGGTGGATGGAGGCTTCGGGTTTGGGAGCTCTACCTCCTAGACACTTAGGCTTTTCATCTTCCTTGCATTAACCAAGGAGGCTGTTGCTGACTTTGACTTCCTTGTTTCTCATTCAATCCAATCCATGTCCTGTTAAAAGAGGATGGATGCCTCGTTCCCCAACTGATGCCTCCAATACCACAAGTGCTTCTTGCAGCTGTGGAGGTTGCTCCTCAGCAAAAGACTCCAGGACTTTCCTTCTACTGAAACACGAGGGGTTTCCACTCCAGATGCAATTTCTAAATAACAGGGTCTTCTGGAAGCCTACATCTTGCAGGCTCACGTGTCTCATATTTCTACAAGCACTGCCTATGTCTCTGTCCTTTGAAAACTGGACCAGAGTTAGTGCAGTTCAGAGAATAACAGTAGAAGCTTGTGAACAGAAACTTCATTTCTGCAGCCCAGCAGCAGGAGTTCAAAGCAGAGGTTACCTTTTTATCTTCAACCAGCCGTAGAGCTGAGCTGCTTTGCATACTCAGTAGTTTATCTTGACTTGTAGACTAAAAAGATAAATTTGTAGTTTACCGTTGATTGTAAGACTGCAATCAAAAAGTGCATTTTAAGTTACTAGTTAAGGCTTCAAATACAGGAGCTGGTGCAACTGTGTGTCTCCTCCATGCTCTTGACATTTCTAGTGCTGGATTGCCATATACTAACCCAGCGCCAGTGTCCCTGTACTGAAAGTGCAGAGATGTCCCGAAGGTAGTGTTGTAAAAACCTCTGTAGGGACTGCTGTTTATGCTTACCACAGCTCTCGGCTCAAAAACCTGTGTTTAGACTCTGCTTTCTAATGTCCTCTCTGTGGGGAAGTCAACCGAGAGGCAATGTGGAAAACTGTGTCATGGGCTACGGATAGATTCTGCTTGTTTTCCTGGAGAAAATAAAGGGTGGTGGCAGCCATCAAGCTGTCAGCTTCAGACTTCATGCAAGTGCCAAACTCAATTAAATTTTTCAAAATTCAGGTAAAGCAGTAAACAAAGCCTCTTACACAGTGTTGGTTAAAAACAGAGGGATCCTGCTGGTGAAGTAAGTGATAAAATTGGACTGGACATTTCCAGCACATTGTGACAATCAAACCTAGATGGGTATAAAGTCTTTGAATTAAGAGCCATCATCAGTATATCGTTTCATTCAAGAAATCTTATTCTAACAGGCCCTGTCACTGTCTTAGTCCTGCACTTGCTACCCTTGGTTACTCAGCTGTTGATGAGATTGCTTAGCTTGTAATGGAAGAACACTGGCTATCAGCCCAGGCTGACTGCTAGATGAGGCAGATGTCTAAGGGTAAGGATGCAAAATGGGGAATGGCCGCTGGGATTGTTACCTAGGTTTTTTGAAAATGCATTTATATTCTCAGTAGTAATCCAGCAAATTTCCTCTGGCTTTCATAGAAAAAGTAGTTACTTCTTAGCAGCATGGAAAATAGTTGGATTTTTAATGTAATGTTAGTGCGCCATCTCTAGTAAGTGCTGCTCCCATATTTCTTCAAGTTTTACATACTTATATAGCCCCTGGTACCATGGTCTGTGAGGACCCCCATTTCTTTAAGGTCACTGGCCTGAGAACAAGCTGGAGCTAGGGAAGACTTGCTGCCACCTCCTTGCAGCAGATGTGGAGTTAACAGAGACCAGCTTGCCAAAGTGTGAGGAGAACATTGAATCTTCTGAACATCACAGCTCCTGCACCAGCTTCCTCATGGTGCCTGGTTCACATAGCAGGCGAGCGAGTGCCTGGCAGTGCTGATGGGTGATGCTGGTCTGCAGACTGATCTGAGCAAGATGATGACTAAAGAATTCTGACCAGAGAATCACAGCAAAATGCAGACTTCCCATGTGTAGGCAATTAAGAAATGCTGGGATAACTGAGGAATTTGGGGGATTTGGGATGACTGGTTGTACCCTTTGCACGTTGAATGGCATTCAGAGTGTTGTCCTTCACATCTCTTCGGATTTGTTTGTGTCGTGGTTTAACTTAAGCTCATCCCCCCCTCCACCCCGCAACATCCATGTTAGGAAAAGCAAAGTATGAAACTGTGAAGTGCTATTCCATCTGTCAGTTCATAAGGTCACTGGGAAGACAGCCACATTTTTTCTCTTATCTACTGCCATGCCACATACATTTACAATGCTGTCAAAAGTTTGAGTATTTAGTGACCTAGTAGCCTCCCAGTGTCTGTTGAGAGATGCCCTATATTGTCCTCTACTTTGCTGTGTTTCTTTTCTGAAGAGGACTACACCTTCCCCTGCTCTGATATTTAAATAATGCTTACACAGAGTAGTATGTAAAAGAAAACATAGAACTCTGAAAGTCTAGAAGACCTGCCAGATCTACAAGATAGTTAGACTGCAGTGGGGATAAATAAAACAGGATGCAGGGTGTTTCGTTTATGTGTCCCCATCCAGTATCCTCAGGAACTTGAAACATCCTCTGGGGCCAAATCCACTCGTCCCCTAATTCAGAATAACTAAGTACCACCGATGATCTGTGAGTCATCTCTTGGCTGTGGAATCTGTTTTGTATCTTTCTTCTTTCATTATCTAAATAGCTTGGTAAGAGTTTAAGCCTTTTCTTGATTGTGAGTCAGTGCACAAGCCACTCGGAATAATCCACAGGCACAATAAACCCTGGGATTGCAGTCTGTGCTTCAGTCTAGAGGACGTGATTGTAGTGGTGCATTTCTTCAGCGTGATTTTTGAATGAATATTAAAACTTGCATGCAGGATAGCACAAAGGAGTAAACTGCAGGCATGATCTAGTAGGATGACACGTGCTTGCAGGCTGGGTTTAGAAGCCTGAGAGTGCTTTGTTCAAAATGCTGATCTGCCACTCGTTTGTGTTGTTACAGCTGGCAAGTCAAACAACCTCTGGGTCATTGTCTCCTCCTATAAAATGCATGTAATGTAGTTTTAACACTTAAGAAAGAAGGCTAAGAGTATCAAAACATTAAAACCAAGAAAGTGTGTAAGTAGCGGATTGGTGTCAGGACTTTAAGGCATGAGCACCAATTGAATCATTTCCCAGTGGTTGTTGCATTTATAACTGCTTCCCCTGCACCCAGATTCTCCAAAGTCTAATGCCTGGGTGCTTCTGCAAATGCTTTTCCTACAGTGAGGACCTATAGTATCTCCGTCTCTGCCTGTTTTTTGCCTAAAATTGAAGAAACTGATTATTTGTGATATACCAGAAGTTCTATTAAGTTTATTTGAAAGCAGATGAGTGTTGTTACTAGTCAGAAGCTCTCAGAGAGGTCTTTGCTTAGTTGACATGCCCTGATGTTTTCTTTTCTAGTATTTTATCTGTGTGGCTTGCTGCACAGTTTCTTTAGTAACATGGAATTTGTTTTGCCAGTACATTCTGTTAGTTTCTCATTTAACATCCTAACTAATGACATAAGTTCCACTGTTGTTTTTTTCAAGTCGTGCTTTGCCAAGAGATGTCATTGAGGCTATGTAGTGTTTTAATCTATGAAAACTTTATACAGCTATAGATAAAGGTAAGAGGCAATAGAGCAGTGAGATCTGAGTACTATCAATCTTGGTCCTATCCATTTCTTGCAGGGTTGTAGAACATAGTGGTTTTTTTTTAATCTGCAAATTCTCATTGTATTTGTATCTCCACCTGCTGGAGGAATAGTTGGTTATGTGGACTGAAGCACATGGAGAAAACCGGAATTCAAATTTGCAAAGGTGCCAACACCCTGAAAGTTGGGTATTGAGGTGCAAAAGCTTACGTTTTAGATACCACAAGCAAACAGTTGGTATAATGTTGCCAACTCTTGCAGTCGAGTGTTGCCAGTATTTTTTCTTTTCCGTCTCGATGGGGATTTAAGCAAGAGCAGAAGAATACCTGCTTTTGTTTAGTGGTTTAAAAAAAAAAAAAAAGAAGGAAAAAAAAAAAGTGAATGCTTCTCCAGAAGGCTTTG